TGGGATACGCCCCAGGCAGTCTCAAGCTTGGCGGCCGGCGCCCTCCCCCGAGTCTAGCTACTCAAATCGATCTGAAACCCGACTGCCGGGAATGAGCGAGTGGGCCTAAACCTCGGTCCCCCGACGCGCGGGCCTGGCCCCGCTCTCTAGGCGCAGGGGCGAAGGGAGCCGAGCCCCGCTGACTCAGGGCCCCCTGCGCGTCGAGGCCGGGTGAGGACCCGGGTGAATGGGGAGGCGCTGAGGCTTTCGAAATCAGTGACAGCGAAAGGCTGGAGTACGGGAAGGGGAGACGAGCATCTGTGGGTAAGAGACACGCTCTGGGCTTGGTTTCTAGATACTTGACGTCGCTTCCCCAGACACCCCGATGAACCGGGAGCCAGCCGCTCACTGCTACCCAAACCCAGACTGCGTTGAGATGCCGCTAAGGAGGCCGACAATTAGTGCTGACAGTTTTTTCTTATCATTTTTCCACTTAGAGGCAAATATAAGACTATAGGGAGAGTGGCTTGTGTATGCGTCTGGCCAGAGAAACTTCTTGGGCTGGGTTAATATTAACTCCGGGACTCAACAGGACACCAGTTCCCTTGGGCAAAGTACTGGTGCTGGCCAAAGGCCCTCCCCTCTCACCCTCCCCTGAGAAGCGGAGCTGCCTTTAAAACTTCATCTACACTGCGTGCCACCATGGACTGTTCCTGCCGGGAAGGCTTTGAAGGCCTGTTGTAAAGCCAAAATAATTGTTGGGAAGTATTTTGCCTAGGGAAAGTCTTCCCGATTTTAAGGATAAACCCATTTGCTGCTCTTACAACTGACTAATATTGATGACAGGTCAGTCTTTTGGGGAAAATAGGCTAGAGCTGTGATACTGACCTTTAAAAAATATGTTGATCATCACATGCAGTCTTAGAGATTCACAACAAAACTCCATGGTGCATCCTTAGCCATGTTGCCTTATGACATTGTGTGGTCACTGTTAGGGCAGGTGACATAATAAACTGGAAGAACCATTGTTCAGTCCCCAAAGTGTGATTTTCCAGTAAGTGCTTAGGTCTCTTGGCCATGTTAGGAGAGCAAAACAGTGTGGTTGTTCGCGTAAATCCAGTGGGCATCTAGGATGTGCATGCAGTTTCTGACAGGTTAGACTACATAGCCAAAATGTGGACATTTTTAGAGGATCTTCTGTTTTATGTAAAAACAATCATAAGGAAAAAAGAATACTGTGGAGTTTTGTTGTTTAAGATATAAAGGGGCTCCTGTGAAGGCTGTATCAATATAAGTACTTTATACCTTTTAAACTTTCTCTGAATTATGGTTAGTAAAGGACATTGAAAGTAACAAGCTCAATATATAGGTGCTAATTTTAATAACTTTTGTAACTGAGTACACACTGGTACCTGCAAAGAACAGAGTATGTAAATGGGGATTTAAATCTTAGTTAGAAAAGGTTTTAAAATACAAATATAAAACATAAGGACCACAACAATCTCTTTCCATCTGAGATTACCTGATTTGGATTTGTCTTTTAGGTCTACTGAGCACATTGCTTACCATCTTTGGACAATGTTTCCTTACTATAGGTATTCAACAAATACAATAAAGCTAAAAAGATGGATAATTTGCTAAATAAGTTGCTCTTTCTTGAGGTAAGGACATAGCCTGGGTGCTACAAATATGTTAAAATCATATTGAGGGGAAATGTTTAGCAAATTATTTCACTGCAAAACAATTTCTAGAAGTTTTAACTATGTGTCTTCTTAGTTTTAGAGCAGGCACTCATTTTTATTTTCAGTTAGTCCTTCTTCAGCTATAACCAGAAGTGCTGCAGCAGATATTTCATGACTAAATAATACCTGCCTTTAGAGAGCTTATCTCTAATTGACAAAATAAGTGATTACTATATAAAAAAGCCAATTGTTGACTATTTTTAAATTTCAATATTGGCCTTGTGAAGGGCAAGGTCGAGGGATTTGAAATGCCAGGAAGCAGAAAGCAATCAACAGCAGAGGACATTTTGCTGGTACCTAATAAAGAGAACACTTGAAGTAAAAGAGATGTGATAAATTATCAGCAGAATGCCATTATTTTTCTTCTTAGGTCCCCAATGTGTGAGGGCCAGCTACAAAAATCAGGCACAAATGAGATATGACTGTTCTCCAAGCTACCGAGGTTTAAAAGAAAGACTACAGATATATTCCTTATTATTTATCTTCATAAACTATACATAAACTCCGAAGGAGCAAAGTGTGTTTTTGTATGATTTATACATTAATGTTCAATAAAAATAAAACTGGTTGTCATCTTCTAAACACAAAGCTGATACATATGTGGCAGATATCCCCAGTTTATAACTGTGTAAAATTAAAGTCATGGGAATGACTACTTTCTGAAGATCACTGATAGGATAAGGGCTTAGACCAGGTTATATTATTTTTTTCTTCTCTTTCCCCGTCCCTTCTCTGTCCTCAAATATTGATAGCTGAAAAGAAAAGTAAGTTAATCATAATCAGCACTATGCTGTTTTATGTGGTAAAATCAACAGCAGAATGTTATTTAAATTACCATGGTTGAGGGGTGGGGAATTGGGGAACATCTGTAATACTGTCAACAATGAAATAAAATAAAAAATAATTTAAATAAGTACATAAATTTCCATGGTTGTCCAAATTTGTAAATTGGGTTTTCTTTTTCATGAGTTAACAGTGGTCTGTTGTCTGTCAAAAATAGACACATACTTTCCCCACTTACATTTTCTTAAAGGGAAAATAATGGCCACAAGTTAAAATGTAAGCGCCTTGAAGGCAGGGACTTTGTCTTATTTTCTGTTGTTTCCCTGGCACACCTACCTGTACCTGGTACATTGGAGCTCAATAAATCTTTGTTGAATGGTCTTTTTCTCTTCTGTAAAGTAGAATCAAGTCAGAATGATCTTTTTTACTAATTCTTGTTATGAAGCTATTTCATTAGCTTTCTTACATGAATATCATAATTGGAGGTGGAAAACACACACACAGTGCAGGTGGTTCTTTTACGTTATGATTCATTATCTGTAATTGTGAGACATAAAATTCTGAGAGAGATTTACGACCTAGAAAAGGATGACAGAGCAGTTACTGTCAAGCAGCAGCGGACCAGGTAGACCACACGCGCATTAAGTCATCCAGTAAATCACCTTTTTTTAAACGAGAGAACATGGAGGACCTCTCAGCCCCCTTCTGAAGGCTTTGAGCAGGTAAGTTGTGGGGGATTAGCACTGTGATAGAGCAGGAAAACCAATCACCTTTCCTAGTCATGCTTAGTTTACATACTATATTCTTATTAAATTTCAAGTCTTCCTTTTTCATTGAAAGTAAAATCTAATTTTTGTTTTTATAGCTGTATAACCATTCAACACACTGATTTGAGGGGGAAATTCCTTCCAGTAAGAGATTACCTCCAAATATAATTTATTGTAGTTAGCAAATATAAAATGGCACGTAAACTCTACATTAGCCATCAGCAAAGTAAGTAACATACTTAAGTAAACTAATTAGTATAATAGTCATATCTAACAAATGGGAATAAAATTAATTTTGAACTAATTTAGAATTCGAAACTAAAATTTTTTTATTTTTATAAATTTATCTTTATTGATTTCAGGGAGAGGAAAGAAGAGGGAGAGAGATAGAAACATCAATGATGAGAGAGTCATTGATTGAGCCCACAACCCGGGCATGTACCCTGACCGGGAATCGAGCCCCGATCGCCTGGATCCTAGGTCGACATTCAACTGCTGAGCCACGCCCAGCCGGGCTAAAATTTTTTTTTTTAATCTTAGATTTTGAACAGCAGCTTCAAAGCTCAGCTTAGAGTTTTTAAAAGACTCAAGCTTTTGCCTGGCCAGTGTGCTTACCGGTTAGAGCATCCTCCCATGCACTTAAAGGATCATGGGTTTGATCCCTGGTCAGGACACATACCCAGGTTGCAGGTTCGATCCCCTGTCAAATTAGTCACCAGGCAAAACTATTCTCGTACTTATTAATTGTGTTAACTAAATCATACAATTCTGTCTATTCTTTGGAGCATTTAACTGTTTTCTGACTTTATAGTATATTAGTACAGCATTTGATTTTAAAAACTCGCTTTCTCATATTTACGCTTTTTTAAAACATTAAAATTAAGCAATAAAGAAGTATTGACAGCCCGGGAGGCATGGCTCAGTGGTTGAGCATCGACCTATGATCCAGGAGGTCTTGTTCGATTCCTAGTCAGGGCATATGCCAAGGTTTCGGGCTCGATCCCTTGTAGGGGGCATACAGGAGGCAGCCTATCAATGACTCATCATTGATGGTTCTATCTCTCCCTCTCTCTGAAATCAATAAAAATTTTAAAAATTTTAAAGTTAAATAAAATTTGTAAAAAAAGTATTGACAATTTCACAATTCACACTATGCTTTACTGTATATATTAAAAAGACATATAATAAAAAATACATAATGGTATAAGGTGATATAAGTAAAAACCCTTCTCCCCACTCTCCAACCTTCCAGTGTCACAACTATAAATACAAGTTTCTTTAAAATACTGAAATTTAATATTCTAACAAGTCACAAGGCCTTGTTTCTTCTCTATTGGTTTGTTTTACATAATGCAGAGATAGCATTAAAATATTAAGCCTTCCTACTGTTATAGAGGATTGAAACAGTTAATTTTATAATAAAATATCATTAACACTGGATTGCCACAGCCTGTTTTCTTTACATTTAATATTTATTCTTCCTCATTAATAGCTCATATACACACATCCAAACCCTACTGATCATCAAAATTTTATAGTCTTATCTTGTAAGTGTAGCATATATATAATTAAACAATTGGTAAACATATAGAGATTGAGCACCGATAAGGCCCACAAGGTACTGCTGTGCAATGTATCTACCAACAGGTTGATTAGGCCAGTTGTTATATTTGACAGCAAGAAAAATATCAACTGGTTTCTGTTTAAAGCTGTGATTAAACAAAGACTGGATTTCTTTCTTTTAGCTTCAGAGACTAGAGATTCTGCATGCTTTTTATTTGTAGCAGGAGACTGGATAAGTTTCCAAGAACATGGTACTAGAGCCCCTTGAATTAGAAATTTGGCAAAACTCAAAATTATATCGCCCAGTAATAAACTACTCAGAAGAATCAGGCTAGAAGCAACTATCCAAATACAAAAGGCTAAATTGGCCATTCTTCGAGATGCTACTTCTACATTTACCTGAACTATGTAAAGAGATACAAAGAGGCTAATAGCTGTCAGTAGAATACAGTATGCTACTTTTATCCAGTCTTTGATATGTGATCTTTTTTTAAGCACATATGACCCTGTCTGCACACCAGCCATGTGTATTGCCACATACCCCAAGGTAGATATTATTCCTTCTCGGTTGGCATTTAATAAACCAACCCTTGTGCCACTGCCATCAGTGCCATACAAAATTAACCTTTTCAATGGGGTAAAGTCCAGGGCTAGCTGGTATAATACGGTAATGCTGATGGCCACAATCCAAGATTTATTTGGGGGGAAAAACATCAAAATCAGTGATGTTATCAATTTCACAACTATTAAGGTAAAGAAAAAGTTCCAGTGAACTCCATACTCAGTTAAATGTTCCTGATAGCCTATGGATTTTATAATGATTAATCGTCCCATTCCTAGGAAGACTAATGGCCGAACAGAGTACAATGACTTTAGGAAATAATCAAACCTGGACCCTTCCATACATTTTCTCCTAATCTCTGGACAAACCATTGCAGTCCCAAAAACAAAGCCTCCTACTCCAAAATCCATTGCTCCTGTCCCATAGAGCTCAGTTTTGGCAAATCTTCTGGGAAAAAGTGGGAAGTCCACAGCCAAAATGGCAACAGCAGTAAATGCACTGTTAATTACACGGAAACAGGAAATGGCTGGAATGTATTCTGATTCTACACTAATTTTTAAGAATTTTTCAAGGATTTTCTGGACAGGCATTCTGGCATAGCAAGTTCTCCGGCAGTATATTTGATAGAACAGCCCTGCTCCAAAGACAATTACAGTGAGGTACTCAAGGTAGACAAATGAAGACAAAATGGTCAAAGTGGTCACCTGGGGAACTATTAGGAAAACAAAGTCAATGAAGAATCGCGTTCTCGGGGTATGTGAAAAAGAACACAAGCGCTGCGAGAGAACGAGCAGGAGCCCTCTGCACAGGATACACAGTCCAGGCAAGCACAAGCCCTGGGTAATTTCCAGCACGCTGGTTCCATTGTGGTTACTGACAAAAGCTTCCTTCATCTGCTTCTGAGACATTTTTTCTTCTGCCTGTGAAAACAAGAGCAAAGGAATGCATTCGTGGAAATCAACAGCAATGTCCTTGTGCAAGTGGCATATACATGCACCTGTCTTGCTTTTATTCTTACCCTTGTTTCAAGAATAGAACCTAGGACTTGTGACCACCGCCCCCCAAGGATTGTGGGAAGAAGCCTAACACTTATACATTAGGATAAGAATGTCACACTAATGGTGTGAAATTATTGGTTAAAAAGCTTTAGCTATCTTCAGTATAAGGCAGACTCAGGAAGAAAGTCCATTTGGGATATAAAGCCTGAGAATGGAACCACAGACGGATAGAAATTCCTATTACAGAACATAGTATATGTCATGAAGACTATGTAATGAAAACCGAATACACAGAACTAATGACTTTAAGTCAAATCTGAGACACAGGGGAAGAGGGACGGGCAGAGGAAGTATTCAAGTACACGTTAGAGGTGGGCACCTTGGTTTCGGTTCGGAGCCCCTCTGAAACTACTGCCTCTAGTACAAGCATATGAGTCCTCCAGTGACCTCCTGAGCCGCAGACTGCTCCTGACATTTACAGAGAGCCAAATTTCACATTGGGTACAGGTAGGCAGAATGAATGGTAATGGGGGGGGGAGGGTATAGCACATATTGTTTTAAAAGGATATAAAACGCCTCTCAAATAATAAATAAAACGCCTCTCTGCCACATGTCAATGTCTGAAGAGTGGCACACACGAAGAACACATTTGTTGGCCAAAGAAGAACCACGTTGAATAAATGAATGCACGAAGGTCTGAGCCCAGCAACAGTTCTTCGCGGTGAGAAACCGATCGGCTGGCCTTTAAAAATAAGAGTCCTTTTCCACCACGGCGTCGGGCCCTTCCTTGCACGTCCCGTGCTCCGGCTGGTGTCGGAAGCCGTCCCGGCAGAGGGCCATCCACCTCGGTCTGCT